CTCCTCCTCCTCTATACTCCTCTCTCTCTCTCTCTCTCTCTCTCTCTCTCTCTTCCACAGTTCATCAAGTTCCTTCCTTTTCTGTAGTGCGGAAGCTTCGGTCCGGTGATATAGGAATTGGTGGTGATTCCACGCTATTCTACGGCTACAGCCTCTTGTATACATGGAGAAACCAAGAAGGTCGTCCATCATCAGCTTCCTCCCCAACCGTGCCTCCTTCTCCCATATCCCACACCATCCCTATAGCCCGGGACGCGAGAATCCCGCGAAGATGAGGGCGCTTCAGAACAAGGGCTTCTCGGGGCCGATGGTGTCGATCGTACCCATGGAGGCCCGACGCAAACAGAAGAACAGGGGCGGCTTCGAGACGCCGGAGGAACCCACGTCCCCCAAGGTCACGTGCATGGGCCAGATCAAGCTCAGGAAGATGGCCTCCCGGTGCAAAAAGCCGTCGCCCGACCGACGGGAAAGGAAGCCGTCATTCATCATCCGCAAGATATTCCGGCGCAAGGGTAAGGCGGCGGCGAGCAGAGGACCGGACGCGGGGGAAAGTGGCGCCACGAGGCCAACTACGCGGGCCGCCGCGGCGGTGCCGGCTAGAGCGCCCCTGCTCGGGCAGACGAGGAGATTTGCTAGCAGCCGCGAGAGCCTGGGGGATTTCGACTGGAGGAAGGTGCTGGAGAGGGAAGACGGCGGGGAGGGCACTTACTACGCTGGCGATGAAGGCAGCGATGCTGAGGAGGACGAGGTGATCATTCCTCACTCTGCGCCGATCATCCTCGGTGGGATGGTGGCGGCCGTGGAGCCAAAGAAGGAGGTGAACCTTTGGAAGAGGAGGACTTTGTCTCCTCCTCTTCCTCTTCAATTAAACTGATCGATTCTCTCTTCATCTTTCTTTTGTAGTTATATGTTTGTCGATGTTTATAAAAACGAAGGAGGAGTTCCTATGTGATGAGTGAAGCCGAGGCTTCAATTTGACATGCAACAGCAACGCCGGTGCAAGATCTGATACTTGTAGTAATCCAAATACGCTCCCCAAGGAAGGAGAAGAAGCACCCCACCCCAACTGCTTGCCTGCCTGCCTGCCTGCCTGCCCAAGAAAATTAATGAGCTGATCTGTACGACTAGTCGTCTCCGACGCATCCATGATTGCGAGTGTCGTTAGCAGCATTAAAAGGCCATCTTCTCCCTTAGTTTCTCCCACCACGGAGCCCTGTTCTACACTGTGTGAACATAGTTGCAGCAGTCGCTGGTTCTTCCTTGGAACGCAGCAGGGCGACGAGAAGGACATGTGCAAAACCTGCGTATGCATGCAGCAGCTTTTCGAGAACGTTGACCGAGAAGCGCGCAGCAAAACTTTGAGAAAGTACGTGGCAAACCTTTGACTGAAGCAAAAGCACATCCTGTCAATAATGGATGGATCGACGAATCCCACATCAGAGATGGCCATTCTCACCTACTCCACCTTCTATAAAATAGATGAGCTGCAAATCGAGAATGCTGCCGACGAAGCCAGTCCGAAACACCTACCTTATTCTCTCGTGCGCACCCACAGGTTCTGATGGTAAGTTGACTATGCTGTGGTAAGAGATAATGTCCGAAGAAATCTATAAACTCGACTATGGCCCATTCAACTTTCTCGGCATACATGCTTGGCATAAGTTTTGGAGGAAACGTGTGCCGATGACACTTTGATCTTATTCCTGCGTAGAATACTATGAACTAGAGGAGGACCAGTCCGCTTTTCCCGAGTTGTAACAGCGGTAAATTGGAAGGACGAGGATTAGCATCCGATAGCTTTAGTGAATGTTAATTTATATGGGACATCGAACGAAGTCTCTCCGCCAAAAGGAATGACCAAATAAAAAGGTCAAAGCATTAGATAATCCCTCTGGAAATAATACAAGACTAAACCACAACATCAATAATAATTGATGAGGATAGTAATTATGATAAGACCAGACTGACGTCAGATGACGCCTCATGCCTCGAATGACGTGACGGCACCTGGTCAAACGGACCGGAACACAGGCCGAGGCGCATTTCTTCACGCCACGCCAAACCAATGTCAGACACAACCAGCCTGCCCCCCTGCAAGCGGGCACATCAGGAAACAGTAAGCCTCCCTATAAATACCCTCGCACTCTGAACGAGCGGGTGGAGGACAGAGGGGAGAACACACCAGGGAGACACCTCAAACTCTTCTCCTTCCTACTCCCTCCACCATCTACTCACTCGATCGTCGGAGGGGTCGGGTCGAGCCTCCCGACCCGACCTGTGTGCAGGAAAGAAGACGGGGCGTGTCCCCAGCCGAGGAGGCCCCTTCAGCGGAGACGGCTGACCCCGTCCCGAATCGGACCGTCGCTTTCGACCACCTCGGCGGGCTCGAGGAACGCCCCAGGGAGATCCCCGTCGTCCGAACTCGAACCGAGCCGCGTCGCCCCCGAGGCCATGGCTCAAAGTTATTTCCCACAATAGATTGGCGCTAGAAGGAGTGCCCGGAATGTCGGGTGATCACTCGAGCGGCTCAGATGAGCCCACAACTGAGAGGTCACACCCGACCGAAGCCTCGGGGGAACATCCCTGCTCCCTGCCCGCTTGCGTCGTGCTTCTCGGCCCCATGTTCCACGAGACACACCTGCGCGGCCAGCCTGCCTGCGTCGTGCTCCTCGGCTTCATGCCCCCGAGGCCACATATACGCGGCCTGCCCGCCTGCGTCGTGCTACTCGGCTCATTGGCTCCTTGGCTACTCGGCCCTCGGCCCCTCGGCTCCTCGGCTCCATGCCCCGAGACACACCTGCGCGGCCCGCCCGCCTGCGTCGTGCTACTCGGTCGCATGATGCCCGAGACACACCTGCGCGGCCCGCCCACCTACGTCGTGCTACTCGGCCGTATGATGCCCGAGACCACACCTGCGTAGCCTACCCGCCTGCGTCGTGCTCCTCGGCTCATGCTCCCGAGACACACCAACGCGGCCAGACCGCCTGTGTCATGTTCCTCGGCTTCATGCCCCCGAGACACACCTGCCACGGCCAGCCCCGCCTGCGTCGTG